GGCCGGCCCGGTGGCGCACTGCTACAGTGCACCGCTTGGGAGCGCTGTGGCCTAAAATATTGGCCTAGTGGGCCGGCCCGGTGGCGCACTGCTACAGTGCACCGCTTGGGAGCGCTGTGGCCTAAAATATTGGCCTAGTGGGCCGGCCCGGTGGCGCACTGCTACAGTGCACCGCTTGGGAGCCGAGGGTTCGGATCCCACATACAGACCTGTCCCGCTCACTGGCTGAGCGAGGTGCGGGTGTGACACCGAGGGTCGCGATCCCGTAGCCGGTCCCGGTCTGGTACGGGCGCGACACTGAGGGTTGCTATCCGTTGCCGGACACGAAAAAAGACAAAAAGGAAAAAAAAAAAATATTGGCCTAGAAAATATTCTAGGTGGTACTGATAACAAAATCCCAGTGGATGACTGTAACCCAACCAGAAACATTTTTGTGACTGCCCTCACTGTTTACCATTTGGTTGCTCATCTATGATTTCATTTTGATGAACTCTGACTTTCTCATATGACCTGATTTACAATGAGAGTATTAAATCAAATCTGTGGTTACCGTTGCATATTTTGTGACTTAAGACATTTAGATTATGATTCATTGAGTGAGTAATTTTTTTAATTGTCTCAAACCAACAGTGTTGCTTTTATTTTCTCTAGGTTTTCACTAATAAATAAACTTCATAGCATAATTTTTGTAATGTAGTCTAACAGATCAATAGCTGATTTTTTTAAATAATACAATAGATGCTTTTTGTGCCTCACTTTTTTCATCTACAAAATGAAATCTGTAGAATACCTACCTCATAAGGTTGTTAGGAGGATTAAATAAGATAATGTTTGTAAAAAACTTAGTACTAAAGAAAATGCCAGGCACATAATAAGTTTTAAGTGTTGTATTTTCTGCATTCCTACTAACCATTTACTTATTTCTACTATTTCAAATATTTTAACATAGTAACTGAGGTATTATATCTTTTTCTTTCCTTTCTACACTTGGGAAAAATCAGGATTACAATGAAATAAAAGCAAATATATATCCAGCAGTGCTATACAAGTAATGTTTTGTTGTCTATAAACCACTAGTCTCGGAAGTAAATCCCTCCAAATGATGAGAACCAAGAGATGTGTTTGCACATAAATTTTTTTTAGGGATTTTTTTTCTGATTTCAAAAGGCATACCCGTTGTTATAAAATTCAAATATTATAGAAATTAACAATTAAACAGTGAAAGACCCCTTTGTCCACATATCTACCCCAACACTCTACCCCTACAGACAATTAATGGTAATAATCAATGTATATTCTCATATGTTTTTCCTAGTCATATACTAATATCTATTTTTATTAAGTAAGTTCACATTGCACACACTTTCACAACTGGCTTTTATTCACTTAAAATGTCTTCAGTGTCTGTGTCAACACATTAGTTCCTTCTCATTTTCAACATCTGCCAACAGCGGTAACTCATGGACACATCTGTGGCTCTCTGAGCACCTATCCACAAAGTCACATAGCATTTAGATGTGATTGGAAAAAGTCCCCTGGCTGACCTCTGCCCTCCCATGGCTCTCTGAGCACCTATCCACAAAGTCACATAGCATTTAGATGTGATTGGAAAAAGTCCCTTGGCTGACCTCTGCCCTCCCAACTACTGACCCTCCCCAGGAGGGGCTCCAGCAGAGTGACTCAGAAGATCTTCTCAGCTCACACCAGGAAACCAGAGCTTTCTCAGCGCAGGAAAAGGATGAGCTGAATGAGGAATGCACATTCATACAGCAGTTAATCCTGGGGATCACAGAAACATTACACAGGCAGCTCCCCTGAAGTGGAGCTCCCTTCGGAGTGTGGCAGTCCAGTCACACACAGCCCACTTGACACAGGAAGGAAATTTTATTTGAGGATGTTAAGGTCAAGCTCACTTTTATTAAAATTGCCACAGGAGGCCATCCATCCCCACTTCACTTCTCCCACTTCAAAGCCTACTTCCCTTCACTCAGATATTTACTCCTGGAGTGATTAAGTCTCTTTTATCTTTTCTATGCTTTCATTAGCTGTTCTTTTTCTCTTTTTCTCTTATAAAAGGGCAGATTTTTTAAGCCAAATGTCAATATGTCAAGCATTAAATACTCATTCCCATGCAATGCACAGTGTTTATAATTACATACACTATAGTAACAAATGTAATATTATTTAATTTGTGCACCAACCTTACACATAATTGACAGACCAGGTATAAAATACAGAAAGCATAGAGTATTCCGCTTAGTTGAGGCCTTTGTTAAACAGAATGCAAAGTTGCAGACTCCATAACATTAGGAAATTTGGGGCATAAAGGTGACACAAACTTGTTTGGCAAGAAAACAAGAGACATGATTATACCCAGCAGCACTCCATGGCTGGACAGGCTGTGACACCTCTGTCACATCAACAAGGAAGCGATGGTGTTGGGAGCTGAGACAGGAGCTCCTTTCTGCAGACAGGAATGCTAATGAAGCCAGAGATGCAGACGGCTGCTCCACAGCCTAAGGCTCCCTGAAACATTGAACTTTTTGAAGGCCATTGTCCAGTTTGTTGAAGGTTAAATATGAACATTTAACCTCATAGTATGTGATTTGAAATTGCATAAGTAAGGCACAGAAAGGCCAAGGAGTCAGAAATAAATCCATAGGTAGGTCCTGTACGCTGCCTTCTCACTCTTCAGTCATCACAGAGCCCAAATGGCACTAGGTGAGGCTGAGGTTTGAAATCTGTTTATTTGTGCCTCAAACAGGTCAAAGTGAACCTTTCAGAAATATCACTTTGAGAAATAAAAATTCATAGTCATGCTACTTATGGCTGTTTCAACCCATTTCTTTCAGATACCATTGTTCTTATCGCTTCAATAGCAGTTGTTTCTGCAAAAACTCAGGGTAATATTTTTGCCACGTCCGCACTCAGAAGTCTCCGTTTCCTACAGATCCTCCGTATGGTGCGCATGGACCGAAGGGGAGGCACTTGGAAATTACTAGGTTCAGTGGTTTATGCTCACAGCAAGGTAAGATTTGCTTTCTGAGCTTTGGAACAAAATTTGGAAACTTTCTCATTGATTGCTGTAACAAGCAAACTTGGTCATTTCGGAAATTAGTTAAAGCAATTTTGGAACATGATGTGTAAGGGATTATTTAAAAGCCATCAGAAACATCCAAGAAGTACGTGGAATTTACTTCATAACATCATAACATTTATGATGTAAATAGAATTTATATCATAAACATCCAAGAAGTAAATGGAATCATGCATAGATTTTTTTTTCCTTTTTCAAAGATTTTTCACCTCTAAAAATCTTTCATTCCTTTTATATCTAGGAATTAATCACAGCTTGGTACATAGGATTTTTGGTTCTTATTTTTTCATCTTTCCTTGTCTATCTGGTGGAAAAGGATGCCAATAAAGAGTTTTCTACATATGCAGATGCTCTCTGGTGGGGCACAGTAAGTATAAAAATCTTATTTTATTTATTGGATGTTGTGAAATGTTTCCTTTGAATGTAATGTAATGGTTCCTATGGATGGCCTCAATAAAAATACTAACTACTGAAAAAGAGTTACATGAAAATATACACTACTTATAATTGGCTAAAGGTTTTCCACAACTCTTTGATCCAACACAGTTAAGTTCTTTTATAAATCATCATTAGTATTTCTTGAGTGCTAGATTGTTGCCAAAATAAAAATATGTCATTTTTTTTAAATGGCATTTAAAACATTGATAGGCTTGTTCGTTTGTTTGTTTTAACTTTGCAGAGCACAGATTTAAATTATCACTCATCATTAGTATTTCTTGAGTGCTAGATTGTTGCCAAAATAAAAATATGTCATTTTTTTTAAATGGCGTTTAAAACATTGATAGGCTTGTTCGTTTGTTTGTTTTAACTTTGCAGAGCACAGATTTAAATTATCACTCATCGAAAAGTTTATCTGAGGTTAAAAAAAATGAATGCTGGCTGAATGAAAGTTAGGAAAGTAAAATTATGGAGCCAAAAAATGAAAAGGAGATGACTGATAACCATTTGTGAAATCAGAGACTATAGACACTAAATTTCAAAATTTTCTACTCAAAAACTCATTTTTTATATTGTTATTAGAGAATATTTTTCCAAACAAATAAAAGTACAATCATGATTCTCTTAAGACAGAAAATAAACACATGCTAACCATTTTATTTAACTCATTTTTTATTTAAGTCATTATTAACGAGGAAACCAGTAAGATATTATAACCAGTTCAAAAGATTACCAAAAGAATAGAAACATTTAACGACCAAGAATAGTCAAATGAATGTGCAAAAAGAGACAAAACTGGCTTCTTCCACAGCGTGGGAGGGAAGTCAATTGAACCTCCACCACGGAATTTATTTACATGTCTATAGACAAGAATTATTCTGCATTGCTACCAGTTATCTACATTTACAGAGTTGTAAAATAGCTCAAAGGCCATGAAAGTTACAGAGCCCCATGAAATCAGAATCCAATAACCTGGAAGGGTGTACTGTGAACAACACATAGTTTTTCATGGAAATTTTCTCTATTTGTAAAGAATTTATAAAACAGTTATTGGAACTTTACCCTAAGAAGAATATCACAGGATACGGGAATGCTTTATGCAATTCATAAATTACATTTCTTATTTTATTTTTTAAGACATTCCAAAAAAGGAAATATGTGAAAATATGCACTACTCGTAATTGTCTAAGATTTTCCACCTCTCTTCGGCCCAACCAAGTTAAGTTCTCTTATAAATCACCATTAATATTTCTTCACTGCTAGATTGTTGCCAAAATAAAAGTATATCATTTTCCTAAACTGTGATTAGAACACTAATAAGCTTTTTGTTTGTATTTTTGTTTTGTGGAGCACACATTTAAGTCACCGGTTGTTACACTGTTCCACTACTCCTCTAAAGCTCACCAGCAAGGCCCATAGCTCTTGTCAAGGACAAGGAAAATTTGTCAGAACTGAATTCAGCAGAACTTGGATTATTTGTTGGTTGCATAGCAACAATAAAATGAGTAAAAATCAGAAATACGTTCTAATCTAAAGATTAGGATTTTTTTCTTAAATCATCTGAGTAAATGTCTATGAAGTTGTGCCATTGATAACGAAGCATTCTGTTGGTTTAATAATTTGGTTTCTCACTCCTATTCCCCACCCACAAGCAGTAATAGATATTTTGAAAGGACAAGAGTGAAAACCCAAAAGAGAGCAGTCATCTGACATGCTTAAAACACTTTTTATACGTAGAGAGCAAATGAAAATCTAGGACTCATGGTGGGATAAACTGTGTAAACTGAGAAAACAGGAGGCTTTTTTTGCCAGCAAGGGGAAGACAGTTTATCATCCCAGCCTTCAAGACAACAGTTTGAAATTCAAGTTTAATTTTTGCTTCTCTTGGGTAGTTCTAGTATATTTAAATGGCTGAGGCACACAGGTGCACCTTTTCCCACTGAGGTGCAGTAACTGGCGAGCTCTTCGATTCTCCTTTCCTTTAGTCTTCCTTCTCTCCTTATTACTAACAAGAATTGCTGTATTGTATGTTAAACAGTGTGTGTGGGAAACTCTTAATGTACTTTTCACTTAGTCACTAGCTTGTTTCTTTTGCCAGAGAATAATGCACATAGCAGGTTTTCAAAGGTCATAGCTGTGACTTTCCAGGGGAAGCTACATATTTTCATTGATTTCCACTTCAGTAGTGCTGTTTTGACTGCCATTTAGCCTGTACTTAACAGGTCTCTGAATGGCCTAATTAAGTGTCTATTTTTTTTTTCGTTAAACTTTTATTTTGTCAATATACAATGTATATGATTATTATGGCCCATCTCCGACACCTCCCTCCCTCCTCCCTCTCTCCCCTCCCCCCCAAGAATGTCCTTTCTGTTTGCTTGTTGTAAAAACTTCAAAAAAGTATAGTTGTTATATCTTCTTCCCCCCGCCCCCCCCCGGTTTTTTGTTTGTGTGTGTATGTGGGTGAATTAATTTGTTTATTTTTTAGCTCCCAACAATAAGTGAGAACATGTGGTATTTCTTTTTCTCTGCCTGACTCATTTCACTCAATATTATTCTCTCAAGGTCCATCCATGTTGTTGCAAATGGCAGTATTTCATTCGTTTTTATAGCTGAGTAATATTCCATTATGTATATATACCACATTTTCCGTATCCACTCATCCGATGATGGACATTTGGGCTGATTCCAACTCTTGGCTATTGTAAAGAGTGCTGCAATGAACATTGGGGAACAGGTATACCTTCGACTTGATGATTTCCATTCCTTTGGATATATTCCCAGCAGTGGGATAGCTGCGTCGTATGGTAGATCTATCTTCAGCTGTTTGAGGAACCTCCAAACCATTTTCCATAGGGGTTGCACCATTATGCATTCCCACCAACAATGTAAGAGAGTTCCTTTTTCTCCGCAACCATGCCAGCATTTATCGTTCAGCGTCTTTTGGATTTTAGCCATCCTAACTGGGGTGAGATGGTATCTCAGTGTGGTTTTGATTTGCATTTCCCGGATGCTGAGTGATGTTGAGCATTTTTTCATATGACTGTTGGCCATTTGCATATCTTCTTTAGAGAAATGCCTACTTAGCTCTTTTGCCCATTTTTTAATTGGGTTGCTTGTTTTTTCCTTGTAAAGTTGTTTGAGTTCCTTATATATTCTGGATATTAGTCCTTTGTCAGATATGTATTTTGCAAATATTTTCTCCCACTCTGTTGGCTGTCTTTTAGCTCTGTTAATTGTTTCTTTTGCTGTGCAGAAACTTTTCAGTTTGATATAGTCCCATTTGTTTATTTTTCCTTTGGTTGCCCATGCTTTTGGGGTCATATTCATGAAGTCTGTGCCCAGCCCTATTTGCTGAAGGGTTTCTCCTATATTTTCTTTAATAAGTTTTATTGTTTCAGGGTGTATATTTAAATCCTTAATCCATTTTGAGTTGATTTTAGTAAATGGTGAGAGATGTGGGTCTAGTTTCAATCTCCTGCAAATGGATAACCAGTTATCCCAGCACCCTTTGCTGAAGAGGGAGTCCCGACCCCAGTGAATAGACTTAATGCCTTTGTCGAAGATCAAATGGCAGTAAGTGCGTGGGTTAATTTC